TTGCCTTTCTGCAGCCCTTTACATTCGTTTTCGATTTTCATGTGTTCTTGAATTGTCAGTGTTTCTAAAGCTGCAGCACCTTCCTCCTGATGCTCCTGATAGCGTGCTTGCCCCTGACAGCCACCGTACTTATACCCCAACTTTCCTATTGCTCTCCTGTGTCAACCAAAAAAGCCGTTCTGCACAAAGGTTGGAGGACTTACACATCACACCAGTAATAGCTAAGACCCAAGCAGGCCTCCTCTTGGACCTACAATATGTGGTCTCCTGAACTTATATCTCAAACATTATACCTCAAGTACTGTATACATCAATATTGCCTTTATACGTGGTATTTTACTTTGCTCCAGTGGAAGGATCGATACTCTATGAATTTTTAAACGCATCTTAGCTCCGGGGATAGCCTGTAACCTGTGGCACTGACAATCTCATTTGTGCCTTCAGTCCTCCTCAAAGCTCTGAGCTAAGTTTGAAGTACCTAACTTATCTTGACGAGACACAGGTAGATGATCCTTGGTGTGCCCAGTAATATCTGAATTTTAATGTGAAACACCATTCAAATTCTTAGACATTTTTTTCTTAGACCATTTTTCTCCTAACTGCATTGTTGGTTTAAAACAAATGGTGTTCTGTAGGTGGGAAAATCTACACATTTAAATTCCCTTAGTCTGTGCCATGTTTAGACTAACACTTAGGTGCCGGTGATGGATCTGCAAAGGAAGCCTTGCTCCTCTGTCAGTAACAGAAAAATGGTGGAGCAGAGGGCTTGATTCAGTTTTACACTGTTCCATTTTAGTTACATGATAAGTTTTGCAGAATGGGGTATTGTTTTTAATGACGGGCTCGAGGTTAACTCCTCTGTTGACTCATTTCCATTGCTGACCAGCGCACATGTGCCTTAAAATAAAGTGTATCTGGTGTAACAGTTCACAGACAGCAACTGGCATGCCTGTGATGTATTTTCGACTAACACCAACTTACACAGACTACATAATTGGCTGCTTTGCATTTTCTGGATGTGTTCGACTTTTTTCTATTTCGAGCTGACATCCTCAGCTGGCTTTTTTTGGTTGAGTTTTTTAAAATGCTGAACATGTGCAAAGAACATTGCTCTCAACTCTAAACATTGCATCGGCTGCAGTGGAAGTGTTCAACTAAGCCGTGTGACCTTTGATAACTGGGATTCACTCCTCTGAACTGACATGTGCCATTATTTACTGCTGCTGTGAATTAACTTCAGTTCAGTTCAGCTCTGAAAGATGCAACAAAGAAATGAGACTTTAGATTGTTTTAATCATATTGTAAATCTTTTATTGTGGGTATAATCAGAATTTTTAAGATCAGCTTTACTCTGAGAGAATTTTAAAAGTATTTGAGACTAAAACAGCAATTTTCACCAGAAGAAAATGTCAAGAGCATTAAATTATTATACTACATACGTCTGAATGTGTAGCCAAGTTCATCTCAAGGCGCCCTGTGTGAATGTAAATATAAAGATATAGTTCATTTAATAAGTTCATTTAAAAATATAATTCAGTTGCTGTCATTTTTAATGGAAAAGCCCTCAAGCTATCTCCAGGCATTGGCAGGTGAACCTGTCCATTTTCTTGGAATTAAGGCCAAGAGCTTTTTGCCCCTGATTTCAAAAGCTATGGGGCAGGAGTTAGAGATGAGTGATTTAAATATTACTGATGTTGTGCCCAAGTCGAGAGTTAAGCTCCAGCACAGCTCGGTGCTGAATACGAATAATTTTGCCTTGATATGGATTTTGGTGGCATTTAAAGGAAACATCAACACAGAAAGTCTGTTTTGTGGTGTCGGGCCACTGAGAGATAGAGAAGGAGGTCCTAAGTAGCTGAAAGACTGAATTTGAAAAAGGCTTATTTTTGAGGGCTGCAACTGAAAACTTTTTTACACAAAAGACTGACAAAAGCTGGTTCGGCACACACAGAGTATTACAGAGCTGATGCCTACAAACATATACTGTAATTTATGGACTATAATATGAAAAACTGGAAGTGTTGTCTATTAATAAAGGTTAGAATATATAAGACATTTCTTTTTGGAATCTGCTCTCGTCAGTAGATTACAGACCTGACTGGATCACCGCAGGCACAGATATTTCTCCCTTTAAGTATTTGGATTAGATTATGTACATACTGATGACAGTTAGGGATGGGCATTAGTAACTTCCATATTCGAGTACAGGCATTAAATTATTATGAAATAAAAATAGTAATGTAAATTGGCCAAGAACGGTGAGCTAATGCAAATTGAAATTAATTTATTAAACAGCCAGGCCTCATTTTGCCTATTAAACCTTAAATTCCAAGTTAACACGAGAAAAATCAGCAAACTTTCTGCTGCTTCCCTTGCATAGGTTAGACACAGCACTGTAGGACAGTCTCCGGAGTCTGGAGCAGCCCTCCACCTGGTCAGTTCAACATCTACCTGGTTAAAATGAGCTTACACAGCAGCAGCCGTTTAAAGGTCCCGACAAACTCACATAAACGCACATAAACGTCTCGACTCTGCCATTAAACCTGTTAATAACAGTTAGGAAATGTTAGCCATGTAATGCTAAGACTTAGCCCTGTCACTGTGTGTGGGTCTGTTCCAACTACTCCTTGGTGCGGAGCTCGCACTTGCGCAGCAGTACTAGACAAATAGAGAAAGAGTGACAGCGGGGCATGGATATGTTGAGCAAAGCAATAACTTCACTTAACCCACTGTAATTAGAGGTTGACCGATAGTGGATTATCAATGGCCGATATAACAACAACAGTTTGGAGCTGGAAAAAGCCGATAGCCGATTAATCTGCCGATAACACCTGCACCTAATAGTCACCTAATAGTTCTTTAGATTATCAGTAATTAATTTCACACACATTGCTAGTGGCTTACTACTTAATTCTAGTGAAATTATACCGACCATGCTTTGCTGCTAGCTAAACAGAGAAAGCACATAATGTTATTCTATAACCAGTAACCGTATTATGCCCCTAATAAAGAAGTAAAGCTGTTCTATATTGGTTTATTTAAATCCTACAAATTATCTACAGCACACATTACTTGCATTTGCATGTGGAATACTCAGTGCAAAAGTCTTATGGACGTACCAACATCACAGCCTCTATCGGAGCCCTGTTCCACCATTAACGATAGTTTATATAAAGTTCTATCGGCGCCGATTTATCAGTCAAACTGATGAATCGGTCAACCTCTTATTTTATTAGTAAAAATATATCAAAGTCATGTTCACATGTGGGAGGTTGGGCAGCGATTACTGTATATGTTGAACAAGCACTGACACCAAAATAAAGTATTTGAGTACTCATGCCCATCCCTAATATCAGTATATGTCTTTAAAGACTTATATAGGTACTATGTCTGTACTTATGCTCTATTGTCTTTGAATCACTGATCTATTGTTTTCAATTCATAATAAATTTGTGCTTTTTTTTTGTTGTCAAAATTAAATTAAAATCAGATTTCCAATACACAAAAACCTGTTTAGAAGATGACTGTGTTTAAAACCAGTGCATAGACATCATGGTCAAGGAGTCTTCCATCTGAAGTTCAGTACTTCAATATGGGGACAATGGATGGCATTGGTGCAGTCAAAAATAGGATCCACTTCTCAGAATTTGATGCAGTCTGAAATGACACATGATTTCTAGTCCTTATCATCAGCTCAACCTTTCTTAAGTTTCCTCGGCAGAGAGAGGTAATACACGTTGGGATGGGTTGGACTGTAATCCCTGTGGATACAGTGAATCTACATTGGCAAAAGGACAATAGTAATGATATTCACCTAATCTCCCTTGACAGATTCAGGACATGCTTTTCATTAACACAAAAGTGGATAAGAGAGCAATAAGCACTGTTTCAGAGTTTACCTAAATCCTTTAAAGCTAACTGAGATTCACATTCTGGTGTCGCCTGTCTCTGTCTGCTTGGGCTTAAGCCAATGCAGGTACCATATTTACAGAGCTCTTTGACATACTTTTTCAGCTGCATTTTTCAAGGTGTGACTACAAACAATAGCAGGGACACAGTTAATTTCACAGCTGGCCATGTGAACTTCAGAAATAACGAAGGCACATTTGAGAAGATGCTGTGCCTCTATTTTGTACTGTAATGAGTGACATTCGGTATGAATGGGAAAAAAAGGTTATTACAAAATCTGTACTGTTCAGACGCTGCCAAAAGCTCCCCTATTTCAAAAGAATTTCATGTTTCCTAATGTGCTTAATTTGTTTATAAAAGTGTCTCTATATAATCTAACTGCACATGCAGTTTAAATGTTAAATCCCAAAGCATTATAAACATATTGAGATAAAAACAGTAATGAGCCGATGATCTCATCAGATTATGATCTTATTCAGTTTAATTAAAATACACAGGTTGCAGTCTGTAAAGCGTGTCTACTTTGTCAACAACATCCTTTATTGTCTGAAAAAGAAGCATCAGATTGTGCTGTCAATTATTTCTGTTAAGAACAGGTGTTTTATAAATGCTGGCTATGTCATTTGATAAAGAAACTTCGCATGTCTTGAGGTTTGGAGGAAATAATCGGCAAGAATCTGAAGTCTATTTTTGTCTTTCTTATGTGAAGAGAAAGAGTGTCAGTGGAGCTTCCATTCAGATTGCAAAGGAGGTAAGAAGAGGGAGGATAGCACTTATTTTTCTTTTTAATTAGCTTCATCTGAGGAATTATCCAGCACTAATATAATGGCTCGATTCATCTCCCACACCATCTGGTGTGAGAGCGGTGTACCTCTGGAGCTGATTGCTTTCCCCCGGTGCTGTGTCGGGGTAATAGGCTGTTCAAAGGCTGCTCTGGGCTCGGACAGCTGAGCAGAGGTGGGGCAGGAGCAGCTGGCCTTGGCGCCATCACCTGCTGCCTGTCAGAAGGCTTCTGAATATGGTCCATCCATGCCCTAAGTGTATGTATCTATGTGTGCGTATGTGTGTGTTGGTGTACATGTGCAACATACTTGAGAGTCGACTTTAAGCAGAGCACAGATTTCATCCTCGTGGAGTGGAGTGAGGGAGGAAGAGAGAGAGAGCATGTCATTAAGACTCTTGTGAACATCTGGGAGAGGTGAGACAGGTGACAAATAAGCAGTAGTGTCTGGAGATGATACCAGCACTTCAGTTAGTTTGCACTTCTGCACCTCATGTCAAATGACACAGCCAAGAAGACATATAATTTGCTGTATATAAATTGCTTTTTGGTAAAGTGTTCACAAGCCTGGCTCTCTGTAGTAATTCAAACACTTGAGCTGTATCTCAACATCCACACTTTTTTTTCTTTTTTTAAAAAATCATGTCATTGTCACTGAAGTTTTGGCTCAAATACTATATTTGTCGCGATGGCGGGGCTTCATTTGACAGTTTGACAACATCTGGTTTGCCCTGAGTACTTCCAGCCTGTCCCACAGTGCAGTGCGCCCACAGCGTCTCCGCATCGCTGACACCTGTTGACTTTGACCTGTTTTCCATCAACAAACTTGTGGAGTAAACCTCATTTACCACAGCTTAGAGAAGGATGAAGGCTGGCAACTTAACTGCTCTGGTTCAGTGTTAAAGGTACACTATGCAGGGTTTGTATGGACTCATATAAAAGTAACTCCACTCAATCTTAACGTATGACCCACTGGAGGTGTGTGACTGTGTATTTATCTGCAGAGACCCTACCCTCTGCCTCTATTTTCATGTTTTCATGTTATTTTACTAAGGTCAGGGAGTTCCCTGACACAGCACCCAGGTGAGGGTAGGACTATATGAAAGGCAGCTACCTGGTAACAGATTGTAAGCAGCACGCATCCAGGAGGAACCTATGAAAATCGCAAACACAGCACCACAAAAAAACTTTGTAAATATAAAGAGGTGATGGCAAAGCAGAGTAAATCTGCGGCTGGCTTTCACTTTTGCAGACGATACTCTTTATAAACTGTAAAGTGAAGGGTAAGTGTGTTATAAAACCCTCAAACACGAGCCTGCATCGATGTTGACGTACTGACCATGTGCACTGCCGTACTGTGTTCATCATGCAAGATGCTCCTTACAAATTAAGTTCCATGTAACTGCATTACACTCCTTAAGCTGCTCAAACTAAGACAGACAGTAAATATCATCATACAGACCTTCACACCTTAATGCTACGTTGTACTAAGGATCAAATACATCCTTCTGTAGTCTCTAGAAAACGCTAGTCTTGTTAATTTTATTGTAAAGTGTTGCAGCAACTATTGCAAAAACCGAGTAGCTTATAAAAATCAGGGTGAAAAAACGAGATGTTTACAAAAGAAAAACAAAAGAAATGCCACCAAAGAAGCTTATGATTAATTTTTTTCCCCACATTTATGTATGTTAGTTATTGATTTACTTAGCCTACTTATTTATCCTTGTATTTATTTATCTTAGTGACAAAAAATAACATACAAAAATTCAAGTAAATAGCAGCACATGGCCTACAGATCACATACAAGTGACACGAATACATATGAAGCACATTTAATGGGACTAAGCTTTATCCATGGTAACAATGACAGTTCCTTTAATCGCCGCAGAGAGGGAAGTTTGTCCCAAAGCTTGTCACTGTATTTATACCCTACACCTTAATGAAGGGTGCTTCATTCAGCTGTGAAGGTGACTACAAACAGAGTTACACTCCATGACGGAGTGGGAGTCCAGTTTGACAAAGGCCCTGTGACAAAATGCTCCTGCTTTTCACTTGATTTATTACCTCAGTAAACATTTTCTAAAGTGGTTTATGGTCTAAATCACTAGTTTTGAGTCTTTATCCAACAGCATGTTCATTTTGTAAATTATGGTCCCATTTAAAGTAAAATAACAATAAAGTAGGATATGCTTTAGGGTGTCGCTACCTTGTGATTGGGTTCTCAGTGAAATCCACCACAGCTCCACCCTGTCATCCAAATATGGTCACTTCTGGATCCAACACACCAAGATGGCGATGGCCAAAATGCCCAACTTGTGGCTTCAAAACTGCAGTCCACAAACAAAGGCATGATGTCACAGTGGCTACGTCCACTCCTTTTACACAGTCTATGGTGGAGACCAAAATAGAGACCAAAGCAAAGTAAATACTGAAATTAAATCTGCCAAGTTGTCTGAAACATGATTCTAAATGAACGCTAATGTTGCTACACGTCTGCTGGATGTTCAAACAGGTAAACTGTTTGCTAACCCATTTGTCATATCAACTTCATAAGTATCATTTCAGTGTTGAGTTTATAGATTGTTGTGCTGCCTCCAATGGCCAAAAATGCATGTTTAAGAAACAGTTAAAGTTTTTGAGAACTTCTTCAAACATGCTAGTGATTAGCCCTCATACAAGGACACTCTGGGAGTCTTAGTCCAGTGGTTCCCCATTAGTCTAGCCACAGGGTCCAGATGGCTCCTTAGTCATTAGTTCCAAAAGTTCAATATAGTCATAGCCATACTTGCGTTTGACTAGGTTGTCGAGCTAGTTTGCTGTCTTTGTTAGAAGCTGTCCATTATTCGGTCAGCCACTGTATTCCAAAATTAAGGTGTTTTATACAAACATTTTACAACCCTTCGACCGCAACCCACCAGTTGGGAACCACTGTCTTAGGCTATGTTAAATGATGTCAGGGATGTTTTGTCAAAAATGTTTCCTCACAGTCCCAAAATGTCTTCTGTCATAACATTAAGCAAGAAGTCTAAATCAACTTGGTGAAAACTGCAGAGTAGTTTTAGGAAACAGCATGCCAAAATAAAGATGATTTCACTGGCTCACTGACTGTGCTGATAACAGCAGCTAATATTAGCTCGCCAAAATGAATCGTAGACACTCACTTTCAGAGAAGCTCTGATGCCGACACTTTTGGGACTCTCAAGCCTCTGCCTTCCTCTTTCTGTGCAACTGTCAGCTGTTTGGGTTGCCATCTACTGCGACCCTGTTGAAACAAGAACAGGTGCTTACATATAAGGGCACTGCTCTGTGCTGGTCTTAATCAAGTACAACAAATACCTGCAATACGCAACATAGAGAAAACATGTAATATAATGAAGATGCACTGGCTGAACAGCGTTAAGTACAGGAATTCAGTGTGTGTGTGTGTGTGTCTGTGTGTGTGTGTCTGTGAAAGGGGGGTGGCGGTGAGGAGGAGGAGGAGGGTTGGGGGTTATTGAGGGTATCTTATCTAACAGTTGAGCAGCTTTATGGCTTCTAATAGGCACCCTGTCGGATTGAATTGTAAATATGGAGCACCATTGTGCATTCAGAGGTGTGTACATCCTCTGCTTCATTTACCAGATGCTAAGTCATGACCAACCCGTTTATTACACCGTGCAATCCACAATTAAAATGGAGAGAGGCTCACAAGGAAAAAGCCATTTACCTTAGCCCGGGCTGCACTTACACACCAGACACAAATTTTACTGTTACTTGAAAACTTTCCATGCATGGAGCACATTATCATTTGATTTCCATCCAGAGTTCTCAATTAAAATTATACAGAGGTTGCATTTCATTACCTGAGCTCGGGGCAATTTGCAGGCCATTAAGCTTCTACCTGTATCAGTGGAGATGTTTTCGAGGTGAACATCTGGGGTTGAGGAGGCAGAGCATGAAATGAAATGCCCCTGGCTCTCTGTTCTGCCTTTTGTCCAAAAGGGGCTAAGGGTATTAGAACGCCATGCATAGTAAAGAGCGTGTTTCTACGGGCTGCAACAAATTGGTCTTGGATCTGAATTGAAATAGAAAATTGACCATGAATGTTAGGATACCAAGTTTGTCATACAGTCACCACAAAAGCCACAAAAAAAGTACTTCAATATGTACTTTTGAATCGAGTTTTAGCCATTGTATTCAGGAATTATACTGGAGTCGGTTTTCATTATTAATTTTACTATTATTATTTAGATGCTTGTCCCAGCATGCATTTGGCTTTGAAACACCTTGAACATGTCACCAATTTCCTTGCTGTCTAAATCCTAAGGACCTGTAAAAATGCAAAGTGTTCCTTGCTGAATTCCCTGTAAAGGGATCAAGGTTCTCTATAAAACTGTAATTGATTTCTGTACCATGCAATAATAAAGACTTACCATGAGGAAACTACTCTTACGAGACCTTTTAAGAATCAAACCTCATTACACCTTGGATCTAATGTTTTTCTCTAAGTCACAATTTAAAAATACAAACTGCAATTATGTTGCCTAATGACATAATGTAATTTGCTTGGTAATGTAATAAAAAACTGCAGCTCAAAACGATTAATCTCTGGAATTCTCTGATCGAGCTCTGATATGTATTCCTTGTGCATGTTTTGCTCAGTATGAGATGAGACCATAATATGCCCACAGACTGCAGGGCTAGATAAAAATAATCATATCAGATTTTCATTTCAAGTGATTTAAATGCCACAGTGATGTGGGCTGCATAAACTTCTTGGAACAAATTGTTGTTCTTGTAATACCTCACCATTGTTTATAGAAAACTATTAACCGGATGTGGATGGTTGGCCTCTTTTTTTTAACAAAGTAAAATGTAAAATTTTTCAGAGGTGGAAGTCTTTAAAATAGATTACTTGAAGGGATTACTTTATTTTTTTTTTTGTGTATCTGCTCTAACACTGTGTCCTAACTGAATGAGATGTCAGTTTGTTTGCATTTTCTCCTACTGGAATGTTCCAGAGTGTGTACAGATATAACTATGTCAAATTTAAGACTTTTTAAGACATTTTTAATACCACCGACTAAAGACTAAGACTAAACCTGCAATGGAAATACACATAGATATGCGTGTGGAAAAACAGAGCAGTAAGGAAAAATGACTATAAAGGCCCGAACATACTCGGGCGTACTATAAGCGGAACGGACTCCGCGAGGAATGTCCGCAGTCATTCGGGTTTCCATAGTCGAGCGCACTTCCGCGTTGTAGTTTCCTGTAAAAATGTCCATGAAAAATCCCCGCGATGTGAAAAATACATGCCGAGCAGTCACTGGTGAGCGGAGCGGAGTTCGCGTGGTTGTAAAATCTGAGCTTTGCGCGCACAGGCCTTGCGGACGTCCGCTTTGAGTCCATGCGGACCTCCAGAGTGCGTTCCGCTTATGTTCCGCCCGAGTATGTTCGGGCCTTAACTGGGTGAGCTTAATTTAAAAAACAAAAACAAAATCATGTCACTGTCAAAAATGCTATTTATTATTGCAATATTCAGAGAAATAACGCTGTAAAAAATAAATTTTCTTCGGTCTGTCCAATGATTGTGAACAGTCACTGGGTCGGTCAAGCTGGAGAAATTTTCACGGTAATGTGGCCGAAAATATTTAAGACCCATCGAATCTGAATTTAAGACAATTTAAGACTTTTAAAGGGATAGTGCACCCAAAACTGAAAATTCAGCCATTATCTACTCACCCATATGCCGAGGGAGGCTCAGGTGAAGTTTCAGAGTCCTCACAACACTTGCGGAGATCCCAGGGGAGAGTGGGTAGCAGCACAACTCCACCTAATGGCTGAAGGCGCCCCAGATTCAAATGTCCAAAACACATAACTGAAACCATAAAATATCTCCATACTGCTCGTCCGTAGTGATCCAAGTGTCCTGAAGCCCCGACATAAAAAGTTGTTTGGAAAAACGTCATTTAAACTCTGTTTTTAGCCTCATTGTAGCCTGTAGCTCTTTCTGCCTCTCTGTGGACCATGCTCACATGTGCATGCTTGCGCGAGACATGGGCACCGCGTTCATGTGTGTTCACTAGGGCCGTAACGGTACGTGTATTTGTGTCGAACCGTTCGGTACGCGACTTCCGGTTCGGCACGACCCTGTACTGAATTATTGGGCGCAGGATATTATTTTATTTTATTTTGTTTTATTTTAATTCCGTTTTTGCGAGCTGAACCATTTAAAATATCTAGTTCCCCGACGGACATAATTGAGTGACGGACCGAGTCCCGTAAATCTCCGCTTTCACTTTGTGCAGCGCATTCTCGCATTTTGACAACATGGCAAGTGAGCCTGACGAACCTGAAGACCCACCCACAAACCTTAAGTCCTCCGTTTGGGAACACTTTGGTTTCAGGGTAAAATACGAAGATGGAAATAAACAAGTTGACAAGACAAAAGCAGTGTGTCGACACTGCAGAACAGCAGTCAGGTGTGTACTTGGAAACATGTCTAACATGCTAACACATCTAAAGCAACACCACCCGAGTTTGAACGTTAACCGGCACGACTAGAAAAAGCAATCTGGTGCAAACTACGATATCATCCTCGTTTAAAAAGAAAGAGCGTTTCCCTGACCATCGCGCTAAAGAAATAACCAACGCCATTAGAGTTGAGTAAAATTGTTTAAGCTGCACTTTAGACATAAGCATGTTTTGTTTACTGCACTTTAACAAAGTGGGAAAGCTAAGTAAGTTCCTAGTAAAACTGAATCTGAGCAGGCTTTAAAGCTGACCAGCTGCACTATACTTTTTATTTTAATTGTGTAAAATTGTTTAAGCAGAAATTTATATTTCTATTTTTCTTTCAAAAAATGTGTTAAAAAAAAACAGCAGGATTTTATTTTTCACTTTTATATTTCTATTTTCATTCAAACAATGTGAAAAAGCAGGATTTTATATATATTTGATTCATTCAAAAATTGTGTAAAAAGAGTTAACTGCTGTGGTGGTATGTTTTAATAAGGTTACCAATAAGTAAAAGATATTTAATAGTAGTCTATTTTTTTCATTACTGTACCGAAAAAAAAAACGAACCGTGACTTGTGTACCGAGGTACGTACCGAACCGAGATTTTTGTGTACCGTTACACCCCTAGTGTTCACGTGCTTTCGCTGGTCTTGTGCACAAGCATGCACACGTGAGCACAGAGTACAGAGAGGCAATTAGAGCTACAGGCTACAATGAGGCTAAAAACAGAGTTCAATTATGTGTTTTTGAACGTTTGAATCTGGGCCGCCGTAAGCCTCCATTAGGTGGAGTTGTGCTGCTACCCCCTCTCCCCTTGGATCTCCGGAAGAGATGTGAAGACTCTAAAACTTCACCTGAGCCTCCCTTGGCATATGAGTGAGTAGATAATGGCTGAATTTTCATTTTTGGGTGAACTATCCCTTTGAGGCCTTATATTAAGAAAACTTATTTTAAGACTTTTTAAGGAGCTGCAGACACCCTGCTGTTTTGAGCTGAACTTTTGTCAGATGCCCTGTTTTCATTAATTCCTGTTGCTTGCTTTGAAAGCTCCATGATGGACAAGAAGTGGCTAATTTGTAAATTTAAAATGAGAAGTTATTATACAACACCTCCTAATTTCACTACAAAAAAAAACATATAAGGTAGCAGCTGGCTGGATGGAGATCCCCAGGCAGCTACAAGTTTCTGATTACCTTACCAATGGATACTGCAAAATAAAGTACATGTGTCCTGTTTATAAGTACGAACATGGAAAGACAGCAAGTACTTGTCCATGTTTTAAGTGGTTACATCTCCAGTCCAGTGCACAGGTAATAAGAAGCCTACAAGGTTTGTTTACATGACGTAACAGATGTGCATATTTAATGGCTTTCATGTGGACAGAGAGCGACGCTCGCTTGCTGTTAGAACATAGTGTTAAATTCATATGAGGCATGCATATCACATAAACAGATTTTTAAACAGCAGAGGAGGTGAACAGCCAGGGCATGAAAATATGAAGTATTTTTTTTTAAAATAATCAAAATTGATTAAAATAAGTTACTTAGTTGAAGTAATCTAATCAGATATGTTATAAAATACAATTTAGGGCATGTTTCAATAGTCTGTAGTGGGATACTTGTTAAAAGTAATCATTCCAAAACTGATCAAAAGTCACTCATTGTCATTTAATATCTTAACTATACTGTCTGCCTGTAAAAGTTGACTTTTAGGCGACACTGTATTAATGTTGTGTAGCCTCTAAACAATCTGAATAATTAG